ATCCCCCCAACCGCCCCCCCCCCCCAGATTAAAGGAAAAGTGAAGACAAGGTTTCTAAATACAAAATAATGCTTTTTTTAAAAAATTTTTCATCCTAAAGCTAGATATCGAATAACAGATGACATTCTGGTTTCATGAAATTTGTTTGCTGCATGGACAATGCTGCATGGTAGGTTTTAAAAATACAGTTTCAGAGCTCCCCTTCTCCCCCTCCGCCCTCCCCCATGGGTAATCCCTATTGACTGCAATGTAAGAATACATGTATATGGGAAATTCAGATGTGAGGGTTAGTGTTGTCAACTCAGGTTAGAATCACCTGGAAGAGGGCCCCTGAGAATGCTTTGGGGAGGGGGTAGGGTGGGGGGGCTATCTTGATTACATAAGAATGCAAGACTCTCAGGTCCTTGTCAGGGGCAGGAACAGGCCAGAAAGGGGATCAATAGTGGAGCAGCCTTCATGTGCTCATCTCTGGTTACTGATTGTGGATTGGTGAATGATCAAGTTCCTGCTGTGTGTGTGTGTGTGTGTGTGTGTGTGTGTGTGTGTCTCTGTCTGTTCGGTCTTTCTTTCTCTCTCTGTCCCTCCACCCCACCCCATGGATTGAATTGAAATGTGAGCTAAAATAAACCTCCCTTAAACCGATTTTCTCCTAGTATTTTGTGGCAGGAAAAGTAAGTAAGATACTAAATAGAAAATTGTAAGTGCAGCCAATGTTACCACTTGGAGTTAAACTAAACGCCCGCCGTGTGTGCCTTCCACATTTTGTTGAATGATAGTCATCTACACTTTTATTACTTGTAGCCTGTGAGCCCCTATGCATCTGGAGATACTCTTCTTAAGCACCAGGTTAATACTTCATGGTTGTCATTTGCCTTGATGGTAGTGTGTAAGCAGTAGTAGATGAAACTAGTTGTCTCCTCAACTACAGTGGTAACCCTCTTTCCCACATAATCAGAGAGAAAGACAAGGCTTCACTTAATGCCATGTGCTTAGTGCTTTTTTTTTTTTTTCCTTCTATGCTGCTTTAGATGTCCTGGGGGTCAATATGTAGATGAGGCCAGAGTATCCCCTGCCTAAGTCTCAACTTTTGAGCACATAGCTTAGTATTTTGACAAATTGGGAAGGATTCCTAAATCAGTTGTACCTCATACGAGAAATATGGTGGTTAAGTGGCTAAGAGCACTTGTTGCTCTTGCAGACAAACTGGATTTGATTCCCAGCAACCACAAGATGCCTCACAACCATCAATAACTCCATTGTCAAGAAATCTGACCTCCTCTTGGGACCTCTGCAAGCACCAGGCACAGTCTATCCACGTACATATAAGCCTTTTAAAACATTGAGGGAAGAGTACGGAATTCTCAAGACACATTTCACCCTCTGGAGTTCTCTCATGAACAACTTACATTAAGTGGTATATTTGTTATGATTGATGGACTCGCATTGATACATTGTTAACTAAAGTTCACAGTTGACATTAGGGTTTTCTCTGTGCATATTCTATGGTTGGTACCAATGTGCACTCTTATGTAGTCTCTGTTTGCAGCATCACACAGAAAATTCTCCACGCCTTAAATATGCCATGCTTAGGCGAGAGAGATGCTTCAGCAGTTAGGAGCCCTTGCTGCACATGGGTTCTGGAAATTAGATCCCAGTACCCAAATAACAACATCCTTGAAAATGCCTAACCCCAGCTCTGAGGGCAGTGGAGACAGGAGGATTGCTGGGACTTGCAGGCCTCGGGCCTAGCTGAGAAAAATGTGAGCCCCAGGTTTAAGAAGAGACAATGCCTAGGTGGGTGGTGGAGGCTCATGCCTTTAATCTGCCTGCCTCTGCTTCCCTCCCAAGTACTGGGATTAAAGACTTATTTAGGGAGGGAGATGACTCACACCTTTAACGCCTTCCCAGGGCAGTGTTTGTGGACATGAAACCCACAGTCACTGATGAAGTTTTCAGTGGTCCCCACCACCTGCTCTCCCACAAACAAGGATGTTGCTGCCAGTAACTATGCCCATGCCTGTTGTACTGTAGGGATGTGGTGTTATCATAGCCAAAGATGCTGCTGCTGTCACGGCCACCTTCAAGGCCAAGCACAACATCCATTTTGTGGACTGGGGTTCCATTGGTTTCAAGGCTGGTATTATCATCCTTCCACCGTGGTACCTGGTGGAGGCTTGGCAGAGAACTGAGCACAACAGCACCACTGCTCTCCTAGACCACAAGTTTGACACTTTGACACGATGTATGCCAGCTGTGCCTTTTTGCATTTGTATATGGATGAAGACATGGAGGAAGGAGGGTTTTCTGAGGCCCTCAAGAAGGGCTATGAAGGGTGCTAAACGAGATGATGAGGGTGACAGCTAACCCACCTGCTGCAATTTCCCTGTCTCAGAGCTGACTTTGAATTGGTTGCTGTTCTGTTTTATGGGACTGTCTGTTATAATCCTAAACTATCAGTAAAGGTGACTTTCCATTTTTAATGGCAAAACAAAGAGTTAAAGCATTGTAGTAGTATTCCTTGTCAGCCTCCAGCCCACAAATAACAATGCAGAGACTTCTTATTATTCATGAGAGTTCTGTCACATACGTGGCTTGTTACTTCATCTCTGCATAGTGCCCATGCTGCTTCCTCCAACTCTGCCTTCTTCCTAGAGTTCTCTCTCTGCCTGGAAGACCCTCCTTACTTCCTGCCTAAGAGTGTTGGTGGTGGTGCACACCTTTAATCCCAGCACTCAGGAGGCAGAGACAGGAGGATCTCTGAATTCGAGGACAGCCTGGTCTACAAAGTGAGTACACAGAGAAACACTATCTTCAAAGACAAAAAAAGACAAAAAAAAAGAAATACATTCACAATATCCAGTCCATTTGTATTTGTCAAATTTGGAGAAATTATTCTTACTTTCATATCCTATCTTTCCAAAGTTTGATACCTAAACCATTTTCTATCATAACTTATATTACCATCTTAAAAATTATTTTTTAGACTTCAAAACATCTTCTTAGATATACAACTTAAGTTTTTTATGTTTTTCAACCTATAAAACTTTACATATTTTATGATTTTATGTAATTTTTTCCTGAAATTGGTAATAAGGAAAACTGTATAATCTAGTCTTCAATCTCCATCAGAGACCCAAGAAGGATAAAATATACCTGAGTAAAAGGAAGTGCAGAGCAAACAACTTCCAAAACTATAGAAATGACAAACACAGCTGGCTGCCTGGACAGTCACCCAAGGTTTCTCTGCAATGTTAGGGTATCCATCTTGGCTTATAGGCCTAGAATATCTGATAGACGGCTTTTGTGAAGCAAGACATTTTTGAAGGACTGTCCTACCTTGTCTTGGCAAAGTTTGGCAGTCACCTTCTTTTGTATTCTGCTTATTCAGATTGAACAGCATACTGTCTGCAGTTGAAGCAAGTGCAATTTCTCGCCCGGTGGCTAACTTTGCCACAATAAAAACAAACTGTATGGAGGTTCTTTGATGCCCATTGTCCTTTTTTGAAGCAAATTGTTGCTTCCAGGAACAGACATATCTTACTGTAATGGAAAGCCTCATGTTATTAAAATGTCATAAATGCCATATTCTGTAGGTCTTTGAAGTGTTTGGAACCCATCTGTCTGTTTGGCCTTGGAAACATATCTAATATAGCCACAAATTTGATTATTAGATGACTAACTATTAACCTGTATTTCTTTATTATTCTAAATAGCTTTCAAGGAATAAATATTACATTTTAAATGGGCTACATAGGTACAATACCTTAAGCACTTAAGCATATACACAGTGTAACAAATAACCTGAAATTTGAATCAATATACAAAAATAAACAAGAGCAGAAACACATATAGAATACGTTCTAACAAAATAAACTTAAATTTGTGTCAATATACAAAAATCTATACCAATGTAAAATATTTGAGATTAATAGTTTTTAGTTTAAAAGTATATTGGACAATCTATTCTTTTATCTATCATTTCTAAATCCTCCCTTTTTTATCTTTTTAGAAAAAGATCCTTGAATCTAATCTCCTTTGCTTAGTTTCCTCCCTGACCATGACCAAAAACAACTTGTAACCACATGATGATAAACATCTGTAACCCACTGAATGACTAAAACCCACTCACACCACCTCTTGGGAATGTGTCATGTTCTCTATACTGTTTACTGATGTCTGGGGCCAATGGCATCTTTAGGGGACCCTGAAAAAAATGGGATAATGGCCAAGTCCAGGGAGAGCTAGCTGTATCATTTTTTGTTTAGTCTCTGTGTGATGGGAAAGTATAGAGCTTATCTGAAGTCCTGTCTGCAGTAGTTATGTAAAACTGGACCATCTCAGCTAGCAGTTTTGAAGCTGTTCTGGATACAGAATTTTGAGGAATCTGCAACAGAGGCATTCTGAGAGGCTGGATCACCTGGGCTACTTGTCTTCATTGCCATCTTGTCCTTTTGTTCTGGAAACAAACATTACCAGGCTGGCCTTGAGCTCACAGAGATCTGCCTGCCTCTGCCTCCCGAGTGCTGAGATTAAAGGTGTGCGCCACCAACACCCGGCATGAGCCGGGTGTT